CCACAAAAACGTAAGCGCAAACCAGAATGGTTTGAGGAATATAAAGAACTGAAGGAAAAATCCAGAGAAGAAAGAAGACAGCGACATGCTGAATTATTAGAATTAAGGAGGAAACAGCATGAGGACAACATGGAATTCCGCAAAGACCTATTAGGTGTCTTAAAGAGTTTGGTTGAAAAATAAAAATTCTATTAAATGTTAACAAAATCTCTCTTTGCACTATGCTTTAAACACAAAAAATTTTTCACCAATTAGATGAGATTCATTTAAAAGAACAGTGGCAATGTATGTATTATTCAAGGCAGCCAACAACAACATTGTTTTATAATTTTTTATTTCAGATTATTAAAAAGTAATTAACAGTAACAAATCAGAATAATCAAATACCAAAATAACAATAACAATATACATCAATAATAACAATAAACATCAATACTGTATGTTGTAAACAGATTTTTACAACATTTGCATTAATATATGTCTTTTATTCTGTGCTCGAGCACATGCACTACTTGAATCTGGTATGGATTCACAAGGGTTGTCATTTTCAATTACAGTTTCATCCTGTAAATCTCCATCGTAAAATAAACAAATATTATGTAACACACAGCAGGCCATAATAAACATTGGTATGAGATAAGGGTTGCCCATATCCACGTATCTCAAACGTCTGAAACGTCCTTTCAATAAACCAAAGGCACGTTCCACTGTGTTCCTTGTTCTACTGTGTTTGAGATTAAAATTTAGCTGCTATGGACTTAAATGTCCGTTATCTCTAAATGGCGTTATTAACTGTTCTTGTAGGGGATATGCAGAGTCACCTAAAAGATGGCATTTTGGTGGAAACATCGTACTCAAACTTCTCCCCAATTTAGAACGTCGAAACACACGAGCATCATGGACACTTCCAACTTCTCTTGCATAGCAGTCTATAAACCTGAACCTAATGATATAGTTAAGTTAATGAAATTAATTTTAAAATCTAAAATTAAACTGGAACAAAAGAAATGATTTACAAACCTAGAATCCACTACAGCTAGGAGAAAGACTGAATGGAAACCTTTTCTGTTTATATATGATTCTGGATGATTTATTGGTGCCTTGATTGGCATGTGTGATCCATCAATGCAGCCAATAACACCAGGAAATCCACAAGCTTTTTTGAACGAAGAAGCATTAGCTTCAAGTTCATCACCTGATGAAAAGCGTATAAACTGTCCAGACAAACTGGAAATTGCCTCCCAAACTTTCTTACATGTGAACCATAATGTGGCTTTTGAAACATTAAAACGATCACTTAGAGATCTGAAAGTAAAAATAATATTTATCTATTAACAAAAAACTGGCTTAACAAAAGCATTTTTTTATTCACTTATCAATGGAATGTATGATATCAAGCAAAACAAATTATCTTACAAATAGAAAAATTAAATATTCTTTCAAAAAAGATCTTAATGCAATTGTAAAATTTTATGAATCATTTATCAAAGCAAATGTCTCTTAAAATCTAAAATGACGTTAATTTAACATTCTATTTTGCTATCTATGCTGCCACAGGAACGAGCAAGGAGAAAAGCACGAATTCCTAAGAAAACATCTGTTTTATTTTCTCTGTAGTTTATGGGGAAGCAGGAGAGCTGCCGTGGTGTATGTGACCGCTTTGGGTTAGGATTTGCTAGTGGCCACAGAGAATTTACAAAATTCTGTACATCAGTTTGTGCCTTGTCAAACTCAGTCATTAGGATGCCACAGGGTTTTGAGATTGAGAGAATAAGACAAGGATTTGAGAAACTTAGAGTGAAACCATTTCCAGGAACAATCGGTTGCATCGATGGCACTCATATTGCCTTTTCTGTGAATAAAGAAGAAAAAAATTATCATGTAAATAGAAAGGTTATCCTAGTGTAGTCCTACAGGCTGTATGTGATTATGAGTTAAAATTTTTGGATGTTTATGCAGGTTGGCCAGGCTCTGCAAATGATGCTAGAGTTTTTAGGAACAGTCCATTATTTAAAAATATGGAAGAGAAAGAGGATTTTATCCCTTCAGACTGCCATGTTCTTGGTGACTGTGCCTACCCATTAAACAATAAAATAATGACACCAGTGGCGGCCTTAGGGGGTGGCGAGCAGGGCAATCGCCCGGGGCCTCGCGCAACAACCAAGTAGAAAAAAGCTGATATTTAAAACTTTTTATTTTATCCTTGGCTATTAGTTATAACAATAAAATAAATTTAATTTATAGTACAGTATATATTAATATTAATAAGTGCCTACTATTTCAATTCACATACTTTGCACAAAGGACAAGGGCCTCGCAAAGATCTGCCGCCCAGAGCCTCGCAATGGATAAGGCCGCCGCTGAATGACACCATATAGAAACAATGGCCATTTAACAAGAAAGCAGAAGTTCTTCAATACAATTCTGAGTTCTACACGAGTCGTAATAGAACAAGCCTTTGCACATCTGTTTGGACGATTTTGGAAGCTAATTTATATCTATGTACGAAGAAGGAAATTTGTTCCAGATGTGATTGTAGCTACTTGTGTTCTGCATAACCTATGTATTATGCATAATGATTCTACACCTGATGTATATGATCAACTGGATTTACTTTCTTGCCACAGTACAGAACAGTTTGATGCAGGTATCAATAAAAATGCCAGTGGGGCACATAAAAGGGATCAAATTGCAGATTACCTTTTTAATTTAGTGTGTGTATAACATCTTTATTGTTTTTGTCATGACTTGCAGTATAATCTTATTTATCTGAATAAATATAAACTATAACAATTGTTATAAAACATTTAATCCATTTTTTTGTTAGAATTGTTTTAAGAATTAGCTAAATTTTTGTGTATTATTTTATTAATAACACTTATGATCTACTTGCAGTAAATTAAATTCACATTATTCTCTTAAGAAAAAAATGTACAAATAATTCATATCAACATTAGTTTTAAGCAAAAACACATCGCAAATAAAAATTTTATTAACTTGAATTTGTTTTTGGTACATTTTGTAATAATTCAACTAGTTTTTCCAAAATTCCTTATGTTCCTGCCATCTTTCATCTTTCTTTTTCTCTCTCTCCTCTCTCTTCCTATCCCTGCGTTTCATATCTTCAACATACCACAATGGTGGCTCATTCTGACTTCTTTTTCTACGTTTAATTAATTCACTTTTATCTTTTTTTTCCAGAAAACCCGACAATCATTTTCTTTATTCAACTGTGTGCAAGAGGTTTGAGCGGCCACGGGAGTTGGATTGACCTGAACTGTTGAATTTTCAGTACTTATAATACTGACACAATCTCTGTTTCGGGCCCAGGTAATTTCAGTTAGCACCTCTTGAGTACATTCATTCATAAAATTGCTGCTTTTGGAATTAATTTTTGAAGAAGATTTCATGTAATTAATTGGCGGATTGGTGTTAATATTCCTACCAAAAGTTTCATGCAATTCTTTAAAATATTCCCATCTAATTTTGCCTTCTCCAGATGTTTTGCTCTTATCAACATTTTTTCGGTATGTAATCATGAGATTTCTCCACTTGTGATCGCATTCTGAACTTGTAAATGCAAAACCCTCTTTGGATAACTTATCTGCTATTTTAGCCCAAAGCTTTGTTTTGACTACAGGTTTTTGAAAGTCTTCTTCTAAATCTATTCTACTTGCTATTAACAGTTTTACTGCTGCATGGGTCCATTCTGCTACAAGCAAATATTTAAATTACTTTTTAAGATCTGTTACTTTGGTAAATATTTGAAATCACGTAAAAACATCACAATTACCTTTACTTTTATTATGTATGCTTTTTGAAGGATCTGGAGAGACAACCACAACAGGGTTTTCTTGAAGATCAGTATGGTTGTCATCAATAATGAGAATTTGTTCTCCACATTCTAAACACAATGTCATACAATTTTATTATACTTGCATGCAAATTATCAATTAATTATTTTTTCAGATTAAATGCACTTACCAAAAGTTCCATTATTTTCAAAAATACTTTCCATAACTTTATTTGTCTCCAATTCAGAATATCTGTGCCTTCAGGTAAGCCTTAGTCAGCTGCACTGAATGTCCTCTGGAGGTCTTTAAAATAATTTTTGATATTGGTTGCTGTTCCTAATGAAAACATGAAGCATTTACTAGTAAATTATGAAGCATTTACTGGATCCTCGTTTCGTATATATCCTTCGCTCCATATGACGAGCAATTACATCTTCTCAAACGATATCTTCAACTCTTAAACACCTTAGTACAAAGGCAAATTCGAACCCGAGATCAAGATGACTTCTCTATACCTCGATGGACTTTACCTACGGATGAACTCACGTTTTTAAAAACTACTTTGGACGAATATAAATCCGAATATGTCGCACTAAAAAGCTTAGCAACTGTTAACATCATCACACGAGAGAAACGAGGATTAATTAATGCGGGAGGCAAGATCTTAAAATACCTATTTGGGACAGCAACCTCCGAAGACATCGAAACTTTGAACAACAAATTATCGCAATTATCAGAAACCAATGAAGAATTTACGCACCTCCTCCAGTCACAAGCTACTCTACTATTGATACCTTACGTATTGTAAAGTAATATATTATTTTTTCCGACTTTCTACAACGATTATCGACACGACTGTGTGCCGGAAATAGCTGTTCCCTAACGGGTACTTTACGCGGATTCGCGTTAGTGTGCCAGGCCTGGACTTTAACTTTGTCATTATTAAATTCGGTGCACACTTAATCAAAAACAATCCAATATTTAATAAATTTCTAATAATAACTATATACAAAATTTAGTAAAAATCAAGTATCAATTTATTCAATGAAAATCAATAAGAATCAACCCTACAAAACTCAAATCAATCTATTTTCTAACTTAATTCTATTCCCCTTTGGAATTCGACAAAAATCAAAGACTTAATTTATGTACAATAATTCTTATGAATTAAAAATCCTAATCGTCACCTCAATATACTAGGAACTCTTTTCGTCAACTCTCAAGACTTTCTCTAATCTTCGATCCACAAATCGAATAACTTCAAAATCGCCTTGGAACTATTTTATCCTATCGGACACCTCTCTCTCGTTTGCTGCTACGCTCACCTCGTCCGTCTTCACTTGACGTTCGGACTTTATACTGTGAGGTGACGTCACAACTCTGAATGCGATCACTCCCCTCATTTACATACTTATTTGCTAACAAACTTTTTTCTGTTTGTCTGGCAGCCTATTTTCCGACAATACTCGCTAACCTTTTACTTTATTCTTTTCGACAATTTTCGGGATGTTTTTATTCTTTAAGGTTTAGCAAGTTCCTAAGTTAGGCTTGTGGGGTCTCCCTTCTTTTCTCGGTGCGGACTTACTTTTTTCCGCTGAGGAAAACAAGTGTGCGCGAATTTCTTTGCTACGGCTTTCTATTCGAGAATTTCGCACTCTAATATTTGAATTACGTAATGTCATTGAAACCCTAGAACAGGAACGTCTCAGCACCTATTTCCTTCCTAAGGAAGTGTTATTAACCACTCTTAAAAAAATCCAACTTCGCCTCCCTGAAGGATATTCCTTCTTAGAAACTCCACAGATAAAGACTATGTTTAAATATTATCAGTGGACATCTATTACCGCAGTCGCATTACCTCAATTACTTCCTATCTTCGCCAAAATTCCTTGTGGCCGCCAGCGCCAGAGATCCCGAACACTGTCTGGCAACACTTGCCAACAAGAGTGGCTGGCAACGCGTAAAGAAAGCCGCGAAAGTTCGGGGGATTTGTCCGGGTGTCACCCGAGTATGTTGGTGACTACTCTGACCTTTTTAATAAAGTTTTTTTTTGTTACTGTTCGTTTTTGACTGCTTAGTGTTAGTTCTATACATCAGTAGGATTGAATGACAAAGTAGTGACCCGAACGTGATCCGATTAATGAACTACCTGGACTTTCGACTGAATTGGATAGCGAACAACTCTGTGTCTATGATGAAACTTTTTTTAACAGGACATGCAGGTATGATCAGTTTCTAAATCGTAAATTCAATAGGAAGACTAGGAGTACGTGATTCGGGCTAAGCCTTATTCAAGACTCTCCCGCTTCCCTTGTAGCCGCATAGTTAAGCGCTTGGAATAGCGGAACAGGACGAGTTGGAAATCGGACGTGTACAGGCAAAACTGCCTATCTTCACTAAAACCAACATCAAATTATTTTTTGTGCAGCTAGACGCGGCTTTTGCCATTAATCGGATTACAAGTGAGAACACTAAGTACAACTATTTAATCTGGGAAGAGGATGAACTGACCCGCCAATATTATCAACAATTGGAAACCATACCGCCTGTGCATGCAGCCCAGACACCACTATTCTCCACCCCCCCCCCCCTATGAGGAGACGTTCGCGCCAACGAACGACTAGAAATCGAGGCCGAGCCTCTCAGCCATAATATTTAACCAGTTTTCGTCCTGTATCGCTATTGTATATCTCAAATTTATAATAACTACTGTATACCCCTATATTTATTTTAATAAATATTATTTCTTGTTATCTCATCTCAAGTCCTCTGTTCCGAGTACGGCATAAGGCCATAAATTAAGCCTAGAGAACAACGGTTAACTAATTATTTTATTTTATTTAATCTAAAGGAGGGTAGTACCGGATAGATTCGTTGTAGATCCTAATTTTCCTTAGACTTTTGTTTTGGAAAAGGTAACACCCGAGTAGAATACGCTAAGCCCAATTCTCCTCCTTTAAGAAGATGTCTGCGTCCTTTCATACAATCGCTCTATGTTAATAGAAAATATTTCCCCGTTTCAGGGAGAGAAACTCTAATTCAGAAGATAACCTTATCCAACACACTTTCGGAATCCAAGATGATTTATCTCCAAACTCTCATAATTTTTCTGAGTATTAGAGTGTGAACCACCGGGGAGGGGGTAGGTCTCCGCTCCGGCAACAGGTGGTTAAACCTTCTCACTGTCAGGATGGATTAAATTTTTTTTTTCCGTTTTTATGGGATTAATTGTTTTGGATCGAGTGGCGGAGAAAGGAGTGCGTCGGTAAGACGACAGGCGATATACGAGCAAAGGAGGATGCAAAATTTAACAAAGACAACGATTTATTAGCTACATGGATATTACAATTACAAATGTCAAGGGAATTTTAGGAGTCCCTAAACCGCGAAGGGCCGAGAGAGAGTTCACAAAAACTTGTTCCATACCTCTTTATGGTTTCTTTGCTTATCCTAGAGGAAAATTGATTTGGAAATCCAGGTGCACGAAATTCCTAGGACACAGTTTAAAAATTATCGGATATATTAGGTGTAGAACGCTTTGAGGAAACTTTTGGTTGGCGGCTGATGAACGACTCCCCCGAAAAGGGGAAGGAAGGGGTTTTTATAAGTTTGTCGTGGGAGAACGGTCACGTGACCGATTGTTGTGAGGTAAAAGGTACGCGAATGGGTCAAAGTTGTCCCCGGGACCATGCTAACTATCAACTTAGCAGTTGGAATGTGGGATTAGTTTCGAAATGAATGGATGTTTACTTCAACAGGAAGGAAAATTTTTTTTTCCGTTTGGTTTCACTTTAGGTTAAAGGAAAATTTAATTAGATTTTTAGGCAAATACGGGACAGTTAATCGGCAAATAATCGGTAAAAATTCCGGATCTCACATTCAATCCGTTTTCTTTAAAATCGCACTTAGTAGTGTGATTTTAACTTTTTTTTTTTTTCCTTTTGACGGGTTTGATTGGGTAGCGGTATGTTTACATAGAGATTGTTTTTTTTTCTCTCTCTCTTTCTCTTGACACTAGGAAAAAAAGTTTGGTTTTAGTTACATTAACATGTTGCGCTAACGAGATAGAAGAATCTGGTGTGAAATGTAATACTTTGGTTATACATATAAATCCCGGCACGTGTCATTCGCGACAATGTTTATGATTCGAGGTGGGAGGACGGGTGTCTTCGAGCTGGAATGGTTGATTGGTCAGTTGAAGTTCCCGTTGACCTGGATACGAGGGTACGGGTCAAAGTTCGGTAGGGTCGAGATTGTCCTTTGTCTCGGAGTTCTTGGTTTCGTCGGTTGGATTCTGGTGTGCACGAGGTTGTTTTGTCGACGATATAACACTTTCAAGCTGATTCTGGACTATAAGTAAGTAGATTGTTGTTATTTTGTGGTGGCGTACAAGTTAGAACTTCCTGGGCGATAGGTTGATCGGCACTTCGAAGTGTTAGAATGGTTGAGGAATCACGTGCGTTTGGACGTCTTCGGCTTAAGAAGTAAAAGTAGCACTTTTCTTTGATTAAAACATTAATAAAAGTTAATAATAATGTTAAAATAGTCACTGTTGTCATTTAGAGGTATATGGCGGTTACATATATGGTTAATTTTACTCTCTCTCGGATTTTAAAATTCTAAATTTAGGATATATAGATATATAAATTTAGGAAAAGAGTTGAAATATATAGAAATGATTTCGTTCGTTGGGAAAATATAAATTCGGAACGCCAAACAACGGAAAAAAATAAAATGGTGGTTGCCGAGTGTCGAGCAAGGTCTTAATAGCTTTGAACAATAAGTTTGTGTGCTATTTGGGTAGAGTCGCCTCGGGGAGCGATTTCTCAGAAAGTGCTTGGTTGGGGGTCGTGTTTCTGTTGACTTTCTCTTTCGTTGAGGGAAATGTTTTCTGGGTCGGTTTTTGTGGGGCGCGGTTGAGGTGATGGTTGATGTTTCTTCTGTTGAAGGTATCGACGAATGATATAATAAAGGCAACATCCTAGAACAATAGTACTCAGGCAACTTGTGATTACCGTTATGACGGTTGAGAGGTAGGATGAAGATGTTGATCGATATACACAAAAGTGTGTTGACCTAGATTTAAAAAAATTCAACCCCCCCAAACCAGTCTCGTTGTAAACTATAAGCAATATTCTATCTCTATATCGGTTTACAACGCTGCAGCTTATATATATATATATATATGTAGGGATAGTTATTCAGATAGAGATATAGAAATGACAATAATCCAGCGTTCGTAACCGTCTTGCTAGAATGATAATATTCTCGCCTTCGTAACGTCATTTTGTCCTTTCTCGCTTTCGTGTCATTAACTGTCGACTTTCTCACTTCTCCCCTTACTTGACCTCTCCCCTCACTTGACTCTCCCTTGCCTCCCCCGCAACCCCTCGTAAATTTATTGTCTTAAAAATCAGAATTTCATGTAAAAATTTTACATCAATATTTCATCATTATGTTAAACTATTTTTTGATACCTTTCTTACTTTTAACTTTAAATAATATATAAATATATATTTTTATTAATAATTATGTAATTTTAATTTTTATTCACTTATTTTATAGTATTTATTTATGCGTAAATGTATTACTTTATATCACATTATTATTTTTCAATGGTGTAAATAATATTGTATTTTATTATTGTAATCATTTAATATATGTTTTTATATCAATAAATTTATATTCATTTTATGTTTTGTCATGTTTTTGTTTTTAAATTATTTTTAAAGCTAACCGACGAATGGCGTCTTTCCTGCACGCTAGCGAAGCATGCAGGAAACATTAACGTAATAACGTCGAGTTCTCCATAACCAATATAGCTATTTCCTCTCTCTTACAGACCATAATGAGTAACATGGATTCAACGTTAATCACCCTTTTAAACTGTCCCATTTGTTATACTCGAGTGCGTACACCCGTTTATCAATGCACCAATGGACATATTGTGTGCTCTGACTGTCGTCCTGGCATTACAAATTGTCACACCTGCAGGGAACCCTTAGGACATATTAGAAGCTTGATCGCCGGCACCTTGCAAGCACCATGTGGATTTCAGCCTTTTGGATGTCTGGAATTACTACAAGA